GTAGAAATCCAGTGAGAACAACCTAATATTGACTGGAGGCCTTGTGTCGTTTCGGATAATTTATTTTCTGAGGAATCTCCATTTCAAGAGACTTAATTTAAACTGGTAGACGTATATTTCAGACAAAAGTTGGCAAATCTCATGTCGATATATCCCAATTGAGCTGTTTTTAAGTGTTTTTCCCATCATTCTAGGTGGGGTTGTTGAATGTAAACCAATGTGCCATCAGAATCCTTAATTATCTTAAGTAAGCTTCGGTTCCGTGGATCTTATGTGACCCGTTCCCCGGTTTAGGGTTTTCAGATCGTCATACTTGGTGTTATCCTGATGGTAATTTCTTTTCGTTTATTGAATGAGGCATTATACAATCAACATTCAGGAAGGGACTGCTCTCTGTGAACTTAGGTTGAAAGGGAAAGTTTAGTTGATTGCGGCCAAATTTATACCCACGCACTTCTGACCTTTATTTTTCTGATCTGAATCAGTTGAACACCACTACCCCAGAGATCAACTTTGACCATCTTTCAACAACTGCCTGCCTTGGCAACCATTGTACGCTGATGAAGCCTATCGGATGACATGTCTAGTGCATATCCCAGCGCCGAAATCAGTGTAGGTCAAGCACGTGTATCAATGCGGTGGCACAAAGTATATACCTACCGTACTCTTCCTTTTTATACCAATATTACAATCGCTCTATACTGATAGCCGGAGCTGAGTCCGAGCTTAAGGCACTTTTTCGCCCCAGTTCATCACGGAAAGTGGTTGTTCTCACTCTCCGTTTCTATTCAACTTCGTGACAGACTGAATTCTTGAAACAACCGTATCCTCGTGCGAGGATAGCGGTATCAATTTACTCCCAGGTGGCGGAATGTCTAATCTAGAATATGCAGACGACATTGTACTACTAAGTGAAGATCCAGGTAAGTTACGAGCTTTTTTGGAAAGTTAGATTGCTAATGTAGCCATGTTCGGTATGCGTTTTGCACCTTCAAAGTGTAAAATGTCACTACAAGACTGGGTTGGTCCAGTACCCAGCCTCAGTCTAACTGGGGGATGTAATAGAGTAGATGGATAAGTTTTATTATCTGGGCAGCTACATCTCACCCGGTGGATGCATCACGGACGACGTGTCTGCTCGCATACAGAAGGCTCAGTTTGCATTTGCCAACTTGAGACATATGTGGCGCCGTCGCGACATCGGGTTGTCTGTGAAGGGTCGAGTATATGCTGCAGCAGTTCGGCCAGTTCTGCTTTACGGCGCAGAGACTTGGCCGTTACGGGAACAGGATAAAAATAGACTGTCGGTGTTTACGTCGCATTGCACGAGTCTGGTGGGGTAGCCGGACGAGCAATGCTGAGGTTAGGCGTAGAGTTTTTGGCAATAGCAGTCGTCCACTGGAGCAAATGATCGACGTCCATAGGTTACGTTCGTTGGGACATATGCTACGCATGTCACCAAATAGGTTACCACGGTGAGCAATGTTTGCCGAGGCAGGTAGTGGTTAGAAAAAGGTCAAGGGTGATCAAACGAAGACCTGGCTTGAGGGTATGAAAACCCTGACCCGGAGTCTGGATTACATAGGTCCCGTTAGGCTCCCAGGCAGGGGACCTCGGGATGATGTTCACGAATGGTTAGATACACTGAGGGTGCTGTCACGCCTTAGCAGACTGAAATTCCTCGGCTACTTAGTTTCGATAGCT